GGGACTGCAAGCCAGTCGCCGATCTGATTAATCCAGCGGTCCCGCAAGTCTTTGCTCGAAGAATCTCGTCACTGCTTCAGTTTTTAGTCCACCTGGCGGTGAGGGCGAGTTGTCTCAAGTGGTTAGAGCGCAAATTCACTAACCAGAAGGTCCGTGTTCCGAACCGGACCTCTATCTATCCCCTATCTGGGGGTTGGGCAACCTGGCAGTATCCTCGGGTAGCATGGCATATAGGCACCGAAAGAATGTCACAGCTGAGCAATTCGATTTTGTTTGATTCCACCTGGTAGTTTACCGCGGGTTTAATAGTTCTTCCATCGCTACTTCCCCATCCCAGTTATTTCAAACACGCAGGGTATTCTACCACTGGAGTTGTTTAGCCTGCCTTCCAGGCCGGCGTCTATGGAACCTTTGTGAAATGTTCCATAAACTCAGAATTCCACTGAATCAAACCTCTCCGCACTGAGCACCTTCAACACACATAGATCACAAACTTCAACAATTAGCGGACACTTCTGAATCGCTGGACGTGATCATTTGACCTTTGGTGGAATTTTACGGGCTGCAAATTTCGAATCGCGACAACTGCTCAACATGGTTAATCTAGGTTCACTCTTCGGGTTCCAGTAAATATCATGGTGTATGCGACGACAAATGCTCTAGTTTGTACATGAGTTCGGTTCCGACAAGTGACTCAACTGAATCCAACTGATAGTCAAATTGATAGTCAAAGTAATTTCAGCAACCTTGTGAGTAGTGTGTTACGTCTAGGAGGAATTCTGTTATTTGTAGGCGGGAGATTTGTGGTCGCTGTGAGCAGGAATCACCCACCACTGCTAGCACAAATATGTCGAACATTCGGTCTCCGTGAACGCATTTTAGGGGAAATCACAAAAATCAATAGACGACTGTCCTGAATCAATTCACATATCAGGAGACAGATTCACTGATCCGATAACTTGTTACTCACATGAAAATAGGAATCTGCTGAGCCATCCCGAGAATCAACCCCCTAGAAAGACAACACTGGCTGGATAAATCTTGTCTCATCTTCCTCCATTTGACACTGGACAGTTGTGGCAATTTTTCCCTCGACATCTATGGTTATAAACGAGACTGATTTGAAGGTGATTCAGTGAGAATGGCACACACTTACTGAACAGCAGGTGCATAGTCCGAATCTGATCTCTACAGTCCGGTGGATTCTGTCTAAACTTGGGAAAACGGGTACTATCTTGGCTTCTTTCAGGTGAAATGGCAGCTAGACACCAAAAGAGTGATACAGCTGAACGAAATCACATAATTTACTCCTAGTTCTCGGTAAAGCCTTTAAGTAGGACTTTGGTAGAGGAACCTCGACTTTCTCCTGTCTATGTTGGTACACCCTCTTAGCTCCCGCACGAATATGAGTTACGCTAATCACCTTAAAGCCATACCGCGTTGGATGTCATCATTTGGTGTGTCTCTGTTCACCAAAAGATGGGACGGATAAGTGTCACTTTACTACTACCGGTGACACCCGACACCTCAGGGTGGTCTCTAATGCCTTCCTCTGTTCCGATTCATGATGATCAAGCCTAGTGCTCTCCACCAACTTACCTCCATTTTCGACTGGATAAGAAAGAGATCATTGTATATTCGCAATGCACTATTCATAAGGTTGCTGAAAGTTCGTCGACAGCCCAGACCGGCTTCGCCCTTCTTGATGCTCATCAGGTTAGCTCCGTCCTCAATTTCCCGTCAGCCGTATGTTCTACTTGAAAACGAATTGCACGAAATTAGCGAAATACACTCATTTGCAAACCAATTTGGTGTTGCGAGAGACTCATCGGGAACCCAGCTGACTCTCCACAACTACCTTCATTTGCGCACAAACTTGGTTTTCACAGGAAACTCAGTTGAATCAAGCTGAACCTGCTGTTCGTGGTGGTCCACCTCAAATGAACGAAGGAGACCATGAGCTGCCAGAAGTTTCAGCAACCCTATGAGTAGTGTGTTACGACTAGAAAAGAGCAGCGACTTTCTATTTTGAAAGGCTTGTTGAATCTCTACGGTGTTCCTTATCGGTCCATCAACTGTCACTGGTTTCGTATAAATGCCCAAAGGCTAGCAATAAATCGTACAAAATTTCTTTCCGTTTTTTCTTATCAAATAACGACGCTTTCAGGGAATTTTAAATCTACCTTATAAAACTGATTCAAAGTATGTATGCCAGGACACCTTCGCTGCATTCAAACCGTACGTCATAGGTTTATCTTTCCTTTCGATTTTCTGGTGCAAAATGACGTCAGTTTTCAAGTTAAATACCATCACGTCATTTTGGTCTAACTATGGGTCAAGTCATGCGTAAATTCAAACTGAAGAATCGATATTCAGCTGAGTCCCTGGATCCTGATATTTTTTAAGCTGAAGATAACGCATTGGGACTATCTAACGTTTCATATGGCACAAGATATCGCGGCATATTTTCTAAATCTTAGGAGGATACGCTCCGACCGTAACGGGACTACATAACAGTCAATGGAATAACCGTTTTCGTTGAGACAGATTTCATTGGTTGTTCTTCACTCGTCCTTGACAGGTGAGTTGTATTCTTAGTATCACTATTTTGACCCTCTTGTACGTGACAGTGATCAATAGATTAGCCGGTTTGCATGTTCATTGACTTTTTCTGGTTTGGCCAAATGCACCAGGATATCAACCGGCCATCCAGACCGGGGTTCGCTGTAATAAGAAGGCATTAGGGAGACTGTGGTCCACAACACCAGATGATAAATGCCATCTCGAAATGAAATGTGACACGAGCCAACTCTGTGCATCAGGTTCAGTTGAAGAACAGCATAACAGAGAGGGAGCTTGACCAGACGATAAATCCATTCATCATCAAGCTTATTTGAGGTGTGCTCTGTATGAACAAAATACTGCGACATCTCGAATGTCATCCGAAACGAAATGGAAATAAAAATAATAAAAATAATAATAATCGTTCAGCTGTAACACCCTTCCGGTGGCTAGCTGCCATGCCACCCGAGGGCTGGCTTCATCTGCTTAATGGGCCTTTAGAAGGACAAAACCGGTCGTGAGCTGTCAAAGAGATTTCACCAATGTTATGATTAGAAAACTTCATGAAAACACATTGCAGTGTCTCGAAAATCTTACCACATAAGGCGGTCTCCGTGCAGAATACTTGGTTGAAGATAGCCACAGAAGAGGGTTTCAACTGGATTTCTTGCGGGTTTCCGCCATATGCAGGCAAAACCGATCTTAGGGTTAACGGAGTGTTCTCAGCGAACCTATGAGTAAAGCGTTCCGTCCAGCTGACCACAACGTTCTATTTGAACACGTGATATCACATGTCCAAAATCCGCCACCAAGCCCAGTATTAGTTTCCGAGTCACGTGTGGCTAAAAGTCCACCTAGCTTAAGAAAGAACTAAACATGTCAGCCGAACTTTTCTGAGTTGGGGCAAAGCCCTCTGCAAATGAGCCAGCTCCGAGTCGGTCTGACGCCCTGATGTCATGCTCAAAGAACCAGCAACTGTCGCCTATTGTTTACCAGTTAACTGAATGCAGACACCAAATCAATATGGCGGTAGCCTTTTGCTGCAAACTACGAAGTTGGTGTCTCCAAAAGTCCGGAAAACTAGTTGATGGCGCGTACTTCAAACCAGACCATTATCTTCTACAAAAAATCTTCACTTCTGTTATATATATATGTATATATATATATAAGTGTACTTCACTGTAGGTGATCGAAAACAAGAAACACCTGGATTGTCTTGCAGGGTCGCAATCCTGTGTGCTCTATTCAGAATCGATTTTCTCGAGGAAACGGAAATTATCGGTCAAGATATTATCACCGTAGTCAGATCTTAATTCTACCTAAGTCAGTTACCGAAATCTCGTAGTCAGTTGAACGTTGACGATCCATTATCTTCTCGATCGAAGCATTACTCTCATCTCCTGAAGTTGACTTCCAGCTTCTCTGACCACCGATTCGTTCCATTCTTTTGTGACGGGCGCTCGTCACTCGAAAGCATCCATCAGGGTGTCAGATAACCGGAAAAAACAGTTTCCTATAGTTTAAAATGCTAAAGTTTATTTTTAAACGTCCTCGCCACCGAAAATGGTGTACCGCGGACATATTCCAAGGAAGACCTCTAAGAGGCGAGACCACAAACCCCAACACCTAGTTTTATTTTGCTCCCTCATGCTGATATTTTTTTCACTTCTCACATCTTGATGTCGCCTTGGTGAAAATCCAACTGACTCTACGATGACGAACTGGCATCATTGTTAGCGTTAGTTTAGGCGAGATGGCTCAAGTGGTTAGAACGCGAATTTACTGACCGGAAGGTCCATGGGTCGAACCCGACCTCTGCCTCTCGACTTCCCCTGTCTCATCATCATCATCATTATCATCATCATTATTATCATCATCATCTTCATCATCATGATCATCATTCATCATCTTCATCAACATCATCATCATCATCATCATCATCATCACAATCATCACCATCATCATGATCATCAGNNNNGCTGTTCAAACGATTTTCTGCTTTATTCATCATGATGGACAACCTCAAAGGCTGTTTCATACCTGCCGGGTTTTTAAGTATTGAGAGAACATGTTTCAATGAATGGTCTTTTGAATTTGTAGATTGTAGATTCCCTCGTCGTGCGCGTTCCACGAGCCCCTAATCACTGGACTCTATTATTGGGTATTTATTTGAAAATTGGACGATCGGACACACACCGAATAAGGACGCAAACAACCAACTAGCAGCCGATACTCTGCGCATATTCAACTCGCCATTTGATTGGGCAAACTGAGTGACCTAGAGCCTAATCTAAGTCGTATTCGATTGGTTGACAACGATTTACTGTAGTGATCGCGACTTGGAATCATCGGGGCCTAGTTTAACCAATACGGTAGTTTACCTGCGCGTATTCGCAGTCGTGACAGCGAATTCCAATTGCCTGGCGCGACGTCACGAGCCCGACAGCCAGAGTGCACGCGATTCGGAGCAGGTCTAATTAAATGACTACACACAGAATATGATTGCTACCCGATCAATCCATCACAAAATTTACAAATGCAGTGCCGCCTAATCGCATGCACTCACGCTATGGATGTGAGAGAGAGCGCACAGACATGCACAAGCATGCTCGCACCCACCATGTACAATCAACCAGCGCACAACTCGATTGCGATCGTCTAGTACACGCGTTACCAAGGCTCAGCCACTTGTTGCATACGTGAGTGAGCAACTCTGTCTTCAGTTAATTGTGGCTTTTTCGTGCGGCGCGTATCACACAACACTCACGTGCATAAACCAGGCAGCCACACACTGTGTGTGTTCCACTCTGAGTACCACTTTGCCCCATTTGTGCGCCATCTGACTATCATTTAACATTCGACCTTAACGTGACGAAACAAGTCTGAGCTCGTGGACTCTCGCTGAAACGATTGTCTTGCTTCTGTGTGCTCATCGTTGCTGTCAATGACTGTTACCTCAAACACGGGTTTTCGGAGACTGAAACTTTTGTGTGTGCGTGTCTGCGTGTGTGTGTGAATCCGTTGTTGGCCCAGTGAGGCTAGAAGGGGACGATTCTGAGCAGGCGATAGCATCGCTTCCTAGTGGGAGATCTGATTTCGGACTTTATTTGCAACCTTTCATATTTGGACCATCGCATGGTAAGTGCACTTCTGTTTGGAACGTTGGTGAATGGCCTTTCCTCCATTTCTGTTTTCTCATTCGTTTACATTGTTATACGGCCATTCTGTCGGGTGAGGACAGATTAGCAACAGAACAAAACCAACGTTGTATTCCCACTTGTGATATTTGTGGTTGAAAAACGAGCGGTGCTGTATTCTTTTCAAGCGTGAGTTAGTCAAAGCATTCGAAGCCTAGCGGTTTAGTGTTCAAACTCCATGGAATTTTTTGTGTGAGGTCCCAATAAGGACGATGTACGATGTTTCTCAGCTTTTCCACGCGAACTGACTTCAATTTCAGGGTTGAGATCGGAATATTTGTTGATTCTACAGAAGGAAACATGACAAACAGATCGGTTTCTAGGACAGAACGATTGGATTTAATTGCGGTCTGTTGTAGATGTGCCATATTTTACTTAGATGAGCTCTTTCAGCTGTAGTACCCTTTTGGTGCCTAACTACCATGCCAGCCGAAAAGAGCACGAGGGCTGGAATACTGCCAGGTTTCCCGAGCCTAGACAGGAGCGGTCGAGAGGCGGAGGTCGGGTTCGAACGACGGACCCTCCGGTCAGTAAATTCGCGCCTTAACCACTTGGGCCATCTGGCCCCCCCCCCATATTTTACTAGGTTCCCGTTGTCTTTTGAGAATAACGCGCTTAGATTGAATCACTGCTCGGAGAGGAGTTATCATACCTTAAAATGGTCGACGTAGGATATCCCCGTTTAGAAGCAAGCTTCCGTTTTGAAACAAACTCTCGGAGATCCGCTGGTTGACTACCAACCCCGTAGGTAATAAACAGGATAGATGCTTGAAGGCTATGCTTAAACTGCTCAAAATTTGATTTAGGATCAATACAAGAGAACTTTGAGATGAGTCTCATTTAAGAGACAGGCACGAGATCATTGCACTGCGTTGTCGACACGCCTTACACGACCGGTCTTGGAAGGATTTCCAGGAATAACAAACGAACCGTTCTAACGTCAGGTCTTTTTGGGTACCTACAACAGGTTAAATGTCATGATAGGCTTATTGATCTTTTCTAGTAGTCAAGACCAAATAAATGCCCGAGGTCATGACATATTAGTGGATATTAAAGCACTGACTTGAATGGGACTGTCTCCGCACACATACATGACCGACCTGTGAGAATCAAGAGTACCTGTTTGGAACTAGTCCAAGGTTTGTTAAAGAAACACAGTCTGATGTGTGGCTTCTAGATCGGAATCAACGGAACATGACTCAACATTGAAGTGCATCTCTTTTGATTGGACATGTTTGTTGAACTTTCAAGAACGGACAACCGATTCCGGTCGTGGGAGCGATTTCCTCTTGATGTGAACCCTTTTCACCGATTGATGGAAAGCTGTTGTAAGCAGCTGCCCCCTTTGAAACTCTACTTCATCTTTTCCATCCTCTTTCCTCACTTCCTTTTGCGAGCACCTCCGGTTGAAAAACCACGTTCTTTTGCAGAATGTGGCAGACAACTGCTAACCGATAATTGCCCGAATAAGATGTGACGGGGTTCGCCCCAAAACTGAACTTGGATCACATGATGATTAGGCCAAAGTGGCTGGTAACCTGGTGAAATTATCCCCGTCCGGTTGCTGGTTGAAGACTAACACTCGGTACAGGAGGAAGGAAGACTAGTTTACCGAACTTTTGAAATGTTTCCACTTACAAAAAAACGAGAGACGAGTGTGACTTCTGGAAAGCCAACCGACGTACTATGATTCGTAGGTGGGGCATAAGTGATACATTTTTACAAATAAGTTCCTTCTCATACCAATCTGTTTCTCACGGGAGATCCGACTGAATCCCTCCTTCATGAATATACACTGCGATATCTCCAATATCGTGCCAAATGAAAGATGAAGTGGCCTTTGTGCAGCACATTCTGTTGAAGAACAAGATGAAGCGTCTATCGAAATTTGTCCAGTTTTGGCGCAAGTGGAACATAACGCTGACGGAACCTCAGAGTCTGCGTCTACTTGATGAAAATACAGAGAGGCTAAACCGGTTGTGAGTTGTCGAACGGTTTTCATCAAACTTGTGAGTAGCTTCCTTTACGAAAAAGTATGTTTTTATGTCTCTTTTAATGTGACGTGCGTAAATCGGTCTTCAAATCGTCTATGGAGATATTCGAACCCACGTCTTCGATACTCAAGTCCGCGGTGCTGACAGTTCGGTCACATTGGTTCCCCCGTATGCATAACTGAGCTCTGGGCACGAGGACATCGAAGTGGTTGGTATAAGCCTGGATGCGTGCTCAGGATCAAATATAGCTGGGAATATTGATTAAGGTTGGGCCAGGCATACATACAAAGCGTTTTGGACTTTGATGGATGAACTCTGGGTCTACAAACTACCTTCCTTATCATTTTTCCACCTTCCTGCTGACTCTCAACTGTTCTGCATCAACCTTTCTCACGACGCGTTTAGCGAAATCCGAAGAGCGGTAACGAACCCTTTTCCCCGCTTTTACTGAACCTTAATTTTGGATCAACACTTCAGCTGGACCGCGGTGCAGAGGTTTGTATTCTCCGTCTCGAGTTTCTTCCCGGGGACATTCTGTGGGCTTTGTAGACGAGTTCTGCCCCACCAAAAATCTCTTATTCAGCTTGTCTGTTTTCCAACCGATGTTTCTCATCACACTGCCTTTCGCCTCTTCTTGACGTTCCATCCATCAGATTACGCTCTGTGTTTCTCTGCCCACATGGTTCTCCTTATCGGTACCTCATCGTTTTCTCTTCAAAGCCCCCACTTTGTCTCCCCATTATGTATCCAGGCAATATTTTCTAGAGACTAGGACAGTATGTGCCCATTTGTCCGCTAGCATTCTTCTGAGTACATTTCAGGGGATCGCTCAGTTTTGTGAGAAATTACGGTTTTCAGAAAAAGCGGACGATTTTGCCCAAAAATCCCCCCCCAATTCTTCAGTAATTAAAGCGAATATTGGTAACTGCTACTCTGATCCACTAGCAAACAAGCTGTCTTAAACATCAGTTTGATGAGCCAGGCGATTTGTAGGGGAAAACATAGCAAAAGTTGGAACATGGCTGGACTTAGAACCGAGGATAAATTGCACGAGGGAATTTAGACAAATTCTTTTGCGTCCTCGGTTTATTGAACAAAAGTGTTTGTTTTCGAGAAATGCACTCATTTGCAAATTAATTTGGTTTTCACGCGAGACTCAATTTGGGTTCAAGTAGATCATAAGGTTGACGGAAACTCGGGGACTGCGCCTACCTGATGAGCCCAGAGCAGAAGGGCGAAACCGGTCGTGGGCTGTCGAAGAGTTTTCAGCAACCTTGTGAGTAGTTTCCTCTATGAAAATACGAAAAGTATTTGTTGTTCTTGTCCGAAAGTCGGCCCATGCAGATTCACCACATAAATTAGGGCGATAAATTCAATTAAGTCATTTGACAAACCCAAATTAATGTGCAAACACGAGTATCTGTTGACATCCGTCCAACGTTGGTTCAAACAAAATATGAGGTTGACGGAAACTCGAGGACTTCTTCTACCTGATGGGCCCCAAGAAAGACGAAACCAAGCGTGATCGCCGAAAAGTTTGCAGCAACCTTGTGAGTAGTGTGTTGCGTTCCAAGCTTTAGGAAATTCTGTGAACTGAGAATACAACGCTGTTTGTTGAGAGGCCGCGTCATATTTCATTCAGTTTTTTTGTCAGGTGACAAAATGCATCGGAACTCATTTTGAACTAGATGCTATTAATGTGTCCTGCGTTCACTGATGCGTCCCATGCCACCCACAAAACTTTGTTCCCCATCCATTTTTTTCTAAATTAAATGTGACATGTGAACGCACTGCCGGTGGGGAAGGCTTTTTGTCCTACAAGTCAACAAACAACTCATCAGGTTTTTTAACTGAATTACTCAGTAAACCCCTGGGTAAGTAGTGAAGACAATTTTTTAGGTTGTTTATTCATTTTAGGAGCTGGTAAATTTAATCACGCAAACCCGGCAAAATGGCGATTATGTTGACACAAGATATTGATGAACAATTATTGACGTTTTCTCAAATCAATACGAAACGGACTGTTTGTGGTGATCAATCGATTCAGTTCCGTCGGTTATTTGCAACCGAAACGCTTAGCAGATGGCTCGCGAATATTCCTAAAAGAAACTATCACTCAAAGGCACCGGATGAAATCTCCTCGACCAGTGGCGAAAAGTTTGTAAGCCATCTTCAACGAACAGATCACCTGCCACATTCCAAGTTATGACTACCAAAATTATTGAAAAAATCTGTGGCAAACTCTGATTTATTCATCACTTAAAGTTCACTTGTGAGCAGTTCCTGCGCGTTCAAACTTCAACTGTAAGTTCTGCTACCAGAGAAGAGGCATTCTGAAGTGCCTAAGTGGCCTCTCTTGAGATAATGGACTATACCAAATTAATTGCCAATAAATGAAACTCCTGCGAACTAAGCAAAAGCAATGTATTCCGTGACATGTTCTATCTAAATAGACAAAATTTGGCAAACGATTTGTAACCATAAATCACGGAAGTCACATTGGAGAAAGTAATTAGGTTGTAATTAGTTGTAATTCGATGGCCAGAATATTAAAAACTAGGGTGGGACCGCGTGATCCTCGCTGCACCTGGTTAGAGACACCGCAAGTTATGGCTGCTAATCAACGTCAGTGGAATTCTTATTTTCAGTTTCTATCCCGATTGCTTGAAGGAGTGTCTGGAGGTGTAGGTACAACGGAATACTTGTCATAGATTAGGAGTTGGCCCTCATGCGCTTTTATTACCTTCCTTAGAATAGACCTTTCAAATGAATCACGGTTGCACAGCAGCGAGGGATCAGTGATGAACACAGGTGTCTATGATGATGATGATGATGATGATGATGATGATGATGATGATGATGATGATGATGTTGATGATGTGAAGGAGAAGGAGCATGTCACCCTTCTTTTGAATGGAAGACTTTTACGCACTTTGATTTTTTGTGA